CCTACCTGATATCTTTCAATCAACACCAGAAACTCCTTGGGAGTATGACTAAAAAAAGGTTAATCATTCAAGTCTTATCAAACAATATCAATTTTTCTAAGGCTCAATTCCCACCTGTTATCTTGATCATCTAAAAGATATTATCAACCAGTTTCGCCGGTTACGTTTCATACCCCACGGCAAACTACCGACTTCGTGCTAATTGTACCTGGTGCGCACGGACAACTCACAAGGGCTTTCTACTCTAATAAAGGTCCAAAGAAAAAAAAGTTTGGGAATCACACCAGACAAAATATTTTTCTATTTCCACAACCTTTGAAGAATAGAACAATTCGAAGCCTCGGACAATTTCAAAGACTTCACTCATTTAGTTGATTTTGAAGCATTTTCTATTTGATTTTGTCATTGCCGCCATAATGTCTCCAATTGCTGCATCGCCTTCTAAAGGCTACAAGTCAGAATCTACATTGGCTAGATTGTTGGGCTCAGGTTAATTTCTTCGGATTATTTTATATACGAGCAATCACTTACACTATGCGTAGGATCTGCCGGTATTGCTGAGCTTGCTGTCTTTCATCCTGTATAGACACACCAAGAACCCTCATTGAAAATGAACTTACTGACCCATCAAAGGTCGACACAATCGCAAAGAGATTGATGAGCAATCAGGGATCGGTATAACCCCCCGTTAATGCACTTTTCTACCATGCCATGCTAATTACTTGCACCGCAGACCAAGGGCAAATTGGCACAAGTTATCTTCAAGGACAAGGCAACAGCATCTGTCGGCACCAAATTCTTTTCTCTCTTCCCGGGTCTAGGATATGCTGCAGGATACAAAGTCCTACAAAGAGTCTACAAGTATGGTGGACAACCATTTGTTCGCGACTATCTTACTACACACCATGGTAGTACTTTCGAAAACACCTTTGGCAAAAAGACCGGAAAGGCGATGATGAGTTCAGTAGCAGGAAGTCTTGTTGGAATTGGAGAGATTGTCCTCCTTCCCCTCGACGTTCTCAAGATCAAGCGTCAGACAAACCCTGAGGCTTTCAGAGGACGAGGTGTTGTCAGAATCGTTAGAGATGAAGGGTTTGGATTGTACAGAGGTTGGCAATGGACTGCTGCAAGAAATGCACCAGGATCCTTTGCTGTAAGTTTCCCTCCTACTTCTCTTCAGACGGCTGCTAATATATTTCAAAGCTCTTCGGAGGATCTGCCTTTGCTAAAGGATACCTTTTCAATTTGAACGATTACAACAAGGCCACCTGGTTCCAGAACTTCGTGGCTTCTATCGCCGGTGCTTCTGCATCTCTTGTCGTCTCTGCACCTCTCGATGTTATCAAGACTCGTATTCAAAACCGTAACTTCGAGAACCCAGAAAGTGGTTTCAGAATTGTGTCAAGCATGATGAAGAATGAGGGCATGACTAGTTTCTTCAAAGGTTTAACACCAAAGGTATGCTAGCTCTTTACTCATTGTTAAGTAAACAACACTAACGTCTAATAGCTATTGATGACTGGACCAAAATTGGTATTCTCTTTCTGGCTTGCACAAACTTTAATCCCTGCTTTTGATATCGCTCTTTCCAAATAGAATGTTCGTGCGGAATTGAGCCTCGTAATGTAATAATACCAAGACGGATGGGATGGAAAACTGGCGTTTAATGATATAAAACGATATATTGTACCCTCCTTGTAGATAGCTGGGAGTCGATATATGGGGAGGGCAAATCACTCGACTCAAATGACAATGACAATGATAAACGGAATAGATACCTAAATTATTGCTGTTACGTATTTTGCTGTGAATCACTGCGTAAATTAATGACTTGGGCTAATGAGCATTCTATATCATACCCAGCAGTATTTTGTGAGTGGTTTTGAAATTCAGAATTTTATCAGCCTCCCACTTCTCATTGTCTGGTAAACTTGCTCTGAGAGGCTTTTGGCTCTGAGAATCCAATAGTCTGGTTTTACAAATCTGGGTAGAGAGTAAAATAGTAGAATTCTATGGCTTCTCTACCAGTAGTATGGATACGACTTTATCATTTAATTATTACCCCTCCATAAAGGAGCTATGGCATCTCGGCAATAGCCGGGGATTTCTGTATCCACAAATTTCAACTTATTTAACCATCAACTTTCCACAAACACAAATCTTCCAATACTCACACCGTAATAATCTACACGTGAAAGTATCATCATGCCTACTCCAACATATCTCATATCTAGAGTTGGTGATCCAATCTTTGCCCTATTTATTGGGGTAGGGGCAACGGTGACTCGTATCAACCGGGAAGAAAAGGAGCAAGGACGCACCACTCAGCAAACAATCGATTCTGCATTCAGGTATGTAGTTCGGAAGTCCATCCCTCTTGAGCATTCAATAACACACGTCATATAGAAGAATCGGCTTTCCTCGTTCGAATGATCCTTTGGCGAAAAAGAACTGAGAGTTGTGGAAGGAGCCCTCGATTGGTCGACATGCACAAAATATTTCAAGGAAGGCGCATGTCATGCTCTATATCTTAAGACTTTCTTTCCATTTAAACAAATATTCATCATTCAACAACAAGTATTTCACCATTTTGCATTCCTGGAATAGCAGTAGTGTAACTGTCAGCACTTTAATCTCACTCCGTCTCCTATCCTTCACGCAGTTTCTTTGCATTGGATAGTGAAAGACTTTTACAATATTCATACAATCTTGATCTCTGAACGCTTCAATGGCAGAAGGTAGCGAAGATTCTTTCTTGTACATGAAAAGCCATTCGAAGGCCAATCATGACTTCGTCGATGGAGAAGCCGTTTCTGGCAAATCACCATCAACCTGTATTCCAAAGAAGCTCGGCGCGGATACTCGATCCATACCTGCTTCGCCTTCGCATAAGCCTCACAGTCAAAAGAGAAACATGGTGGCTGGACGTGGCGGATCTTCTAATGTCGCAATATCTGTGGACACTCCAACCGTTGGACCGCTCAATCATGATGATTGTATGGCTTTTGACCTTTATGAGCAAGATCCCGACATGGTCTACGGATCCTCGGATTACAACCTTCGAAGACAGTCATCGGACTTCCGATTCAACTTTGAAGATATGATTGTTTTGCCAATGAGACTCAAGAAACCATCCACTGCGATTAACTTCGGCACACCTTCTTTCACTGACATCGATGAGTTCGACTACGCAGATCAGCACGTCTATTATAGTCAACTTATCACTACTGTTAACTCAAATTCGGCGAGACACGAATACGCCGTACGTAAAGGACCTCTTTGGAACTGCGCCTGGGAAATACTTGTACCAAAAGGTCTTCATCCAACCTATCTTACAGAGGATGAATTCGTAAAGTTGGTGTTAAGTCAGGGCAACGATACGACCAAGTGGATGGATACCAACATTCCAATTCTACATAGAAGAGCACTTCAAAAAGCGGGCGCTGCACGCCAAAAGCTTTCAAATGCGGGGATCTCTCCTTTTGAGCTAACTCAAGAGTATCTAGAGTCGTTTGAATGGATGGACAAGATTGAGCAAGATAATTTTATCAAGACTTTCCAGAAGCTGCAGCTACAAGTTTCCTTTCAGAAACAAGGTATTTCAATGAGAATTGAAGATATTGGCAGTATCCCTTTTGAGGACGAGGAAAAGCTAATTGGGAAGTCACATACGAAGCTGGTTGACGGATCTTGCATCCAACAAGGCTGTTCCTCCGACGTTGACGACTCGTTCATGGTTGACAAATTTAGCCTTAAAGAATTTGAGAACCAGTTCTGGAATGATGATTACAAGAAAGGTTCTCCGACATCCAAGAAGGCTCCTGCTCCGGTCCGCAGCACGCCAATTCCACAAAGATATCAATCTCCAACTGCCTCCGACCTTCACGACGAAGCAGTTTCTTTAAAGTGCTTGAAGAACATTTTATGTTCCCAGGGTATTGAACCTGGACCACCCTCTCCACTTCTCAAATCTGGTGAAGGCTCCGACTACTTCAAGATCAATCAAGAGACTAACAATACCCATAACTCCAATAGAGGTTTCATGAGCCAACCTCCATTTTCACCACTCGAAGCTGCCAAGAGCTATCCTTACAAAGGTTCTTATGTTCTTCCACCAAAGAATCCTGACTCTCACGTTTTCTTCTCTCTCCAAGATCCTCCTTCTATAACTCCTCTTAAAACTACAAAATCTGAATCTGGTCACCTTGAATCCTCAAGTTCCTCAAGCCATGATCCCAGTGATGGCAGCAGTAGTACCCCGGGTTCCAAATCACAATCACGCAAGTCTGAAGCTAGTTCTGTCGGTGGAGTCCCTCTTACGGGTACTCTTAGTGGTGGTAGTGCCTGCCAAAGTCAACAATCAGGCAAGACAGAAGGAAGCCGGGCAAGTGGGGCTAGTGATAAATTCGCCAGTATTGGCAAAAGAATCGAGGGTTCCCCTAAAGCTCTCAAGAAGAAGTTGAGTTCCGTTTTCGGAACGATTGGAAGATCTGGAAGATCGGGTACGCAATGAGAAGAGACTGCTTGAGTGTTGAAGATGTCGTTGCTACTAATTGCTCATACTGAGCATTGTTTATCACTCAAGAGCGTACTATGGAGATGAAAAGGACGCACGTTGTGCATGAGACATGTGAGGTGCTCGTTTGATGGAAATTCACAGTGAATGAAACATGGTAATGAAGGGGTATCACAGGGCTCTATTATCAACTAGTATTGTTAGTGTTGGAATCGAGTATGAAATTATGGTCATCGAATAGCTTGAAGTCATTATCAAGCTCTCTGGGATTATGGAGAAATAATTACACATTCGTTAGAGGTTAGATTAGTACAGGACAGAGAGATAGTCAGAATTACAAGAGATCAATCACGAACCAAATGACATCATCAATGCGTGTTGGAATTGATGAAGGGCCTCCACCCTCGTCAACTTCACGATTCAATACAAGCATGTTCAATCACTCCTCAAATCACAGTCTCATTACAACGGCAGAAAGACAGTAAATCACGAACCCAACGACTTCACGTGTACTTAGCACATTGTGAAACCATGCATGTGTTGGCAGAAAGCATCGTATCATATTGTCCCTATTCCCAATAAACCCCTCCCACTAAAAGCATGAAAACAAGGAAAGGATAACAACCCCCTATGAATAATTCACAACATCGAAGTCCGAAATTTCCACTTCCCAAGAGCATACACAGCTGTTCCATCATCCCATATACAGATAATCAGTCTTTTCTTGCTGATCTCCTTTGCTGCGAACCGTAAGGGAGGGCGCTAAGGATGATCGAAGAGGTAGGTGAGAAATGGTTGGTTGGTACGCTCCCAAGGTATTTGAGGGGGAAAACTTGGAAGTCGACGAGTAAAAAAGAAAAACTGCCCCAGGTTGTAACGTAGTCACACTGCCCTGCCTATCCATCACCGCCTCGCCTTATAAACGCCTATGATGAGTTGTACTGAAGTTTCTAAGGAAGCGGGATTTAGTTGGCTTCTTCTAAAGCTTCACCAAAGGTGTTTTCGCCCGAGTATGAGATGTATAGGAATCTATTTCGTAGTGAAGTTAGCATTTACATCATAGAATCATTTGGAATTTCTTTGTTCATTCATGAATATGTGTTGGAGTCGATTTGGTTTAATCGCGATAATCACGATAACGGTGACGATAGAGCGGTATGACGTTATGAAAAGTAGATAATGGAGAACGTACCCATCCTCATCCTTATGCTCCTCGTAAATGGAGCTCATCAGAGCGGCAGTAGGCGGTAAGACCTCATCGACAAAAATGAAGATGGCCTTTTCCGGGGAAAGCTTGATACGTTTGCGGATAACGTACACAAATTGACCGACGGTGAGATCGCTGGGAACGAGATACTTCTTCTTGTCGATAGTGGCAATGTCGGACTTCTCGACCTTCTCGCAGATTACGGGGATACGGTCGGAGTATTTTTGACGCTGGATGCAAAAGTTAGTCGGCTTGTGGTGAAAGGAGTGTGCAATAAGTCGGTTTGAGGGTTTGGGGGATGCGATCGTGATAGTGGGGAAGAGGAGGTAATGGTTAGGAGGTTGGAATGCGACTTACGATGCGTTCAGCTTCAGCCTTGCGCTTCTCGAATGGGTGCTCGTCCTTAAACTTGGATCGCATTTTGAAATAAGTTATTGGATGATTTGTTGGTTAAGAGTTGTTGGATGGTTGTTGAAAGGTAAACCGATTTGAAAGTGTTGATATTGGAAGTGTTGTGTTGTGTTGTGTTGTGTTGTTGATGTAATGGAGGATGGATGGATGATGGAGGGGAAAGGTAGTGTGAGGGAGGAGGTAGGGAGGGAGTTGTAATGGAGAGGGAGACTAATAAGGTATTATTAAAGGCTATAAAGCCTGCCTAAGTGCAGGTGGCTAAGTAGCGTAAGCGGTGAGTGATTGATTGTGAATCACACTTCTTGCCTAGCGATAAGTACGGGGTATGGGTTGTACTGTACGGGTTATGCTTTATTATCAACGGATGGGATTATGATACTGTACGGTGACTTGCAGGTGAGAGGTGTGGTTTTATGAGCAGAGGGCGGGTTGAATATAGATTGATTATAGATATGGATGGTTGGTATAGATACGAAGATACGAAGATACGAAGATTGACTCGAGATTACGGTAAAGCGTGGAATAGCTAGGAACGTACCTAATGGAACAACCGCAGCTGACGATGGTGAAGAGTGAAGAGTGAATGATGGAATATGAATGACTTGCCTGTTTCACATTACTCCCAAGGGCACATGATGAGAAATATCCTCATACAATGATACATACGAGTGATCATTCATTCATTGATTCGTTCATTCATACTTTCATCCTTCATACCTCCCTTTTCTTTGTCATGCGCTTTCTCTTTGACCGTCGTTCGCATCCAATGCAACTTACCCAATGACTTACCCAATGCTCTCTTTCTCCCGTACGTACGCTCGAGGGATGGGACTAAACCCCAGACAGCAACCCCACTCGAGATAGAGGCAAAGAGGCGGCTAGAGATGGAGTCAAGAAGGTCACGGGTATCGTGTGGGAGGAGGACCTTGACATCCTTACCAGGAGAACATCGCAATGGTTGATGTCAAATGATCTCCTATCATCGAAGTATACATGGATATGGATAGAGAAACTCCCTACTTGTCGTCGTTCTGCCGGTAGTAAGTTACCCGGGTGTACATAGTAATCTATTATCTCATACCTGGCGAGCCTGGCCCCGGTATACGATATGTATGTATATGTATCTCGCGCTCGCATCTTGACGTTCTCTCTCTTTCTCCGTAAGCTTTTCTTTTGAATCTTCTGGCGTTCTTCAACTCATGACCAGGAATCTCTCGGATTCTGACGGATCCATGTACCAAATCTAACTAAGCAAGTCCTCCGTAAATGCCGTAAGTCTCGAGGTAGCTGGAGGTCTTTAAAGTTTTGTTCTGCTCAGCACCGGTAAATCCTTACCAAAATCTTCCGATGATGGCCAGTGCTTGCTTCCCTTTCTAAAAGTTGTCCATTCATCGCCGTCATGATCATAGAAATCGTACCACGGCAAAGTGCGAAGATTATATCGACAAATCTAGTCCTTGGAATCACACCCAAATAATCACTTCCACGACAATATCTCCTTATTTGTGGCATGTTTCTTGTATTATAAGACTGAAATCTTTCCAATTCTAAGCTGACCATTTCCTTACCTTTCCTTTCCTTTCACAATGTCTCTTCCCATAAGAAGAGCTCGATTCTCGAGCTTGGGAAGATCTTCTTTCTCGAGACATTCTTTACCTTTGTATCCTCGGAGAACTTTCGCAGATCACCAAAAGCCTCCTAGACCAGGCTCTGGACGACCTACTGTTTGGGCACCAAAAACTAGAATCGCTGTTGGCGTTGTCTTTATTGGTGCTTTAATTTACAACATGGTATGGAGCATGCGATCAAGACTTATGCTACGGGCTTCACTTACACCTTAGTAGGCAACAGAAGAACCGGCCAAGTTGGATGCCCCTACCATTGCAGAACGGGATACCCTCACTAAACGTGAATCTGGAGTCACGGAGAATTCGCCCATGCGATTGCGAATGGAAGAATTCATTAAACAACAGCAAAAGGAAATCGTACATGAATTGGAACAAGTCGATGGCAAGAAGTTTCGAGTTGATACATGGACTAGGGAACATGGCGGAGGTGGGATCTCCTGTGTATTGCAAGACGGCAATGTATTTGAGAAGGCAGGAGTAAATATCAGTGTGGTATATGGAACATTACCTCGACCGGCAATTGAAAAAATGCGAGCCAACCACAAGTCTATCGACCCTGATGTTCAATCCCTCGACTTTTTCGCTGCCGGATTAAGCATGGTCCTCCATCCAGTCAATCCAATGGCGCCGACTGTCCACCTCAACTATCGATATTTCGAAACCGAAAACCCCGATGGTTCACCTGCCGCATGGTGGTTTGGTGGTGGAACGGATCTTACACCTAGTTACTTGTTCGACGAAGATGCTATTCATTTTCACAAGACAATTAAAGAGGCATGCGATAGCCATGATAAAGAATACTATCCAAGATTCAAGAAATGGTGCGATAACTATTTCTCCAATAAACATAGAGGGGAAACGCGGGGTGTTGGAGGAATTTTCTTCGATGATTTAGAAGAGGGAAAAGATCAAGAAAACTTGTTTGCATTTGCGCAAAGTTGTTTGAAAGCTTTCCTTCCTTCATATCTCCCAATCATCAATAAGAGAAAGGATATGCCATATACCGAGAAAGAAAAGGAATGGCAACAAATTAGGAGGGGTCGATATGTAGAATTCAACCTGGTACATGATAGAGGTACAGCTTTCGGTTTGAATACACCAAGTGCGAGGGTGGAAAGTATTTTGATGAGTTTACCTTTGACGGCTAGTTGGAGGTATATGTATGAGCCGGAGAAGGGAAGTAGAGAACAGAGATTGGTGGATGTTTTGAGAGAACCTAGGGAATGGGTTTAAATGTCAGATGTGGGAATAGAAATAGTCGACTGATTGAATTCTGCTGTATATACGAATTAGAAATTACAAGTATGATATAAATGAAAGAAATGAATAAGAGAGATATCGGTGAGGTTTAAAATAATGGGTTTGTAGTTTCCCATACCTAGTACTTTAGCAAACGAACGAGCAAGCGAGCTTGGTTCCACCCCTCCTTTTCTGTTCTATCCAATCTCGTGCATTGCACATCGAGCACACTTCAACATCTTATCTCATCACCACTTCAACTCTTCAACTCTTTTGGGAATATCCAGTTCTTATTTAAACGGAACAAAACTCTATGTATCCAATTTCTACATTTTCTTTCCATCCTAGAACTTCTCCAAAGTCATTAATGAAAACAATCTCACATAACCCATTCCCATCATATCACAATGTCCACCAACCACCCTGCACCTCCACTCCCGTCTCAATCTCCATCTCCATCCCTCTCACTCCCTTCATCCCGTGATTTCATGACCTCTCTCTTCAACAGTCTTACTTCTTCTTCTCGTTCTTCTACTTCTCCAATACAAACCTCAGACAGAAATATAACATCAGATTCTATCTTATACACTCGGAGATTTTCAAAGGAGGATGAGAGGGATGATGGGAATGGGAATGGGAATGGAAATGGAAATCCATTAAAGCAACTAGATGCGCAGAAAAAAGCGTTATTAATGACACTCCATGTCATCTTCCCTCCGCCATTGCTATTACACGCGTTAGATTTGCTGGATAGAGGGGGGGTGGGGCGGGTAGTTTTGAAAGGGGAGGGAGGTACAGAGGAAGGAATTAGTAAGAGGGAGGGGCTGGGGGATAGAAGGGATGATGCGAGAGGGAACATGGAGCAGGATGTTAGTAGCGAAAGAGAGAAAGAGGCAGAGAGTCGTCGAAATCTGAAAGTCGAAGATACAGAAGTAGGAGCGACGACTACCAAGGCTCATAACCCCCAAGCCACTCCATCCACATCCACATCCACATGCGCATCCGCATGCATATCCCCGCACAAAAATTATTCCCCTCTCGCTCCTGTCCATCCCAGCCCAAATCACCGCTCGCCCCCCAAAACAAAACCACCAATACTCTACCAAGTGCGCTCCTCCCAACCCCCCAAATGGCATTCCTCACGCTCTGCTTCCGGAATAGGAATAGGAACAGGCCATGCATCTGCATCTGCAACTGCAGAAAATACGTACACCGTGCATCTCGACGCCTGGAACTGTAGCTGTGCCGCTTTTGCATTTTCTGCTTTTCCTGCTTCTTCTTCTTCTACTCATCCCTATCCATACATTTCTACTTCTACTTCTACGTCCACTTCATCGACTTCGTATTTTCCATGGAGCTTGAAGGAGAGCTCTCCCGATGAGGAATGTTTAAATTCAGTGGAGAAGGGAGAGGGAAAGGGGAAGGGGAAGGGAAAGAGGAAGGGAAAGAAAGAGGAGGAAAAGTGGCAATATGGAGGCTGGACGAAAACATCCCAAGTACCCATCTGTAAACATTTATTGGCGTGTTTGTTGGTGGAGAGGTGGAGTGATGTGCTAGGGATGTATGTACGAGAGAGGGTTGTGGGGAGGGAGGAAATGGGTGGGTTGGTGGGTTGAGGGGGGTTGGAAGATTGGGGTGGCCTATGGGAGAGATGGGTCATGGGAGGAGGAGAGAGGTTAAAAGCGGGGGAGATGTAGAGTAGATACGGCGGGGAAGAGGACGGTGTGATGAGTGATGTGTCGCCTAAGGTTAACATTGGAGCGTCGGTTGTCGCATGGGAGTTGGAACTGTTCAAGATCTCTCAAAATGAGTTTAGGAATTCGAGCACTAGAAGCAAAAAGAAGGCAGAGAGCTTGGTTGCTCCTGGATTCGAAGAAGAACATCAATGAGCACATACAGAGTGCCAAAATCACACTGAAAACTTTCCACGGCTGCTATTATTCGCAAGCTATGCATTTATGATACAATGACATATCAATTCTCACGCTCGTCTCAAATGTCCTATGTCATGCCCCAATCTGAATGCCCATACCTCATAAACACCCATAGATATTCACCAACTCCCCAATTGTTCGTCATCACTTCTTCTTTTCCTTATCCTCTTTCTCCTTTTCCGCTTCCTTGCCCTCCTTAGCATCCCCATTTACACCATTAGTTCCTTCAGTCTTCTTGTCCTTCTCATCTTTGGCTTCATCCTTTTTGGCATCTTTCTCCTCTTGTTGTTGTCTATTTTGGATTTTATTTTCGATAAGGTCGTGGAAGGCGGTAATGGCGCGGATCAAACTACTCAAGTAGATAGCCATCAATTGATCGTTGGTCTTTATGCTCATAGCATGTGCCAGTTCGCTGTTATTCTCAATAGGTGCATCGGCGCCGTTAGGGATGCGAGAGGAGGCTTTGGGTGTAGATAAATTAGGGAGGAGGTTGAAAACATCTTGAAGGTTGCCTAGAATGGCGTGGTTGACTGGTAGAGTTCCATCGAGGACGTTTTGTAAATATTGACCAATATCTCGTAATCGTGCGTGTAGTCCTTGCAATGATTGTACTTGGCTTGTGATCCGTGTTGAAAGGGTACCAACCGCCACATCTCTAATATCTCTAAGTAAATGTTCAACTCCGATTTCTTCAGCCTCCTCAGCCTCGATGATCGTTGGTGTGTGTACGAAAGTCTTGGAAGTAGTTGTGCCGTCCTTGAATGATGTTAGAGCTTGACCAATTGCCTTTTCATAAGATAATGAACTTACATCTTTAATCTCCTCTACCGCGAAGTAGGCATCTGTTGGTACGCCGCTGTCTGTTGGTTGACAATTGATAATCACAAGTAATGGGTTGGGTGTGTATCTTTTGAACAACTCATTGACCTCCAAATCTGAAGCTCTTAACTTAGGCCCAGAATGATACCATCCTATCAGCTTCTCTTTTGCGTTGATCTTCTTGAACATATCATTCATCGATTCGACGTAGTTGTGGTCCAAAAACCATACTGATGGATCTTTCTCATCTTCTTCGAATGGAACTATTTGAGATTGCTATTAGAATGGTGTAAAACATCAAACCAAGCTCAAATGAACATGTTGGAGGGAGTCGACATACCAGCAAAACTGTTTGATACTCGTACATTCTTTCCTTCATTCTGTCCTAACAGAACTCCAACCACTCTGCGCGTGCCTTTACTTTCTGACCGTCCATAATGATCTGCTGCTGAAAGTAATACCAGCGGCGCAACTGATACAGTTCTCGAAACGAGGGAGAGGGCTTCTGCTGTAGTAGCAGGCATGATGAATTTTGAAATGTAGAGGTTGGTTGTTATGGAATAATGGAACAATTGTTGACAAGGCTGATATTCTTAGGTATTCGCGGCCAGAGCTTGCCTGGCACCCGGTGCTTAGCTCCAAACCGAATCGAGACGTTATCACGTGCCACACGGCGGGCACTTTGACTAGTGGCGGGCGGAAGGGCGGGAGTTGGTCTCGCAGTAAGAAGGAAGGTACGATGAGGGAAATGTAAATTGTGGACAGGAAGGATAGATCGGATGTAGGATACCGATCACCACAAGATTGAAATTATACAGTCCTGTATATCTTTCTTCCGACGTTATGAGATTTGCTGGTGATGTAAGAACACTCGCCCGTATCATCAATAAGAACCTCGGACGGACTTCACTTTGCAGACTCAGAAGGAGTTCCAGGAGCTTGAACTTCAAGATTGTATTACCACGAAGATACCTTAGCAAAGGTCCGGTGAAATATCTAACCAGACATACTTCAATATACTAAATAGCTACTGTAAAGATAAGACCTCACTCGGGTCCCTTGCGATATAAATGTCCATCGAATTCTCTTCATAAAATATTTATATCTTCTTCTTCTCTTCCTCTTCTTGTTGCGAGATTCTTGACTTGATCTTGATACACTGAGGGGATATCCCGGTGATTTTTTTCCGTCCCTCCGGTTGCCGCTCGGCAGAACAAGCTAGATTTACAGTGCTCTCTATATTCATTATAACATTTCCATTCCCATTCCCATTCCAATTCCCTCGCGTTCAAGGCTTGCGAAACTTTTTCTTCTAACTCTCTCCACTCTACAATCTGTATATTTTGGATTATTTCCATACCTTTGTTTCGTTTTCCTTCACCCCATTAATTCAAGATGGCACCAATTGGCGACGATGCCTCGCAGACCCTCCATGACTTGGTCAACAAGCTCGAGTCGAGGGTCAAGGAGCTCGAAGACAAGCTTGCGCATGCGGCTGGTGGTCCAGCACCATCTCCTGCTGGGAGCGTCAGAATGATTCTTATGGGTCCTCCAGGTGCTGGTACGTATTCATGAGTTTTCTGGTCTTGCAATCGTGGTGTGTAAGCAAATGGGAGGCATCAGCTAAACTGTTTTCTGCAGGCAAGGGAACTCAAGCTCCTAAGATCAAGGAGAAATTCTCATGCTGTCATTTGGTAAGCTATTCTACTTGCGGGGAAAAGGCAATACTAATGCTAGTTTAGGCTACTGGAGATATGTTGCGATCACAAGTTGCGAAGAAGACACCATTGGGTCGGGAAGCTAAGAAGATCATGGATCAAGGTGGTCTCGTTAGTGATGAGATTGTTATTGGCATGATCAAGGCCGAACTCGAGGGCAACTCAGAGTGCAAGGGAGGGTAAGTGCTGTCGGAGATTACAAAAGAGAAAAGCTTGTTCTGACGTGAAGCATAGATTCATTCTTGATGGTTTCCCACGTACGGTCGTGCAAGCAGAACGCTTGGATGCCATGCTTGCAGAGCGCAATCAAAAGCTACAACACGCAGTTGAACTTCAAATTGACGATAGTCTTCTTGTATCCCGCATTACTGGACGTTTGGTGCACCCAGCCTCAGGCCGATCGTATCACAGAATATTCAACCCACCTAAGGCAGATATGAAGGACGATATCACTGGTGAACCATTGGTCTCAAGATCCGACGACAATGCCGAAGCTTTAAAGAAGAGACTTGTTACCTACCACGCTCAAACTGCCCCTGTCGTTGGTTATTACCAGAAGACTGGCATCTGGAGTGGAATTGACGCTTCACAAGAGCCCGGCGCTGTTTGGAAGTCACTTTTGGGTGTATTCGACAAACAAAAGGGTGCTAACGGTTCGATACTCAGCAAAATTACCGGTCGCTCTTAGAAAGACACATGAACAAAGGTGATAAGTTAGCTTTGCATAGAGTTCTAAAAAGTTGTAATTGCATTTAAGTTAGTAGGCATAAGTGCAATCTTTCTGGAAGCAAGGCGTTTGTACAACCAAAGATATGCAATGGGGGCCATGTCAATTTAGAGGCTCTGTGTATTATTTGCACTGCGTTTTCTCGCACTTGAAGATTATTAGAAAGTGATCAAATTGAATGAAGTCAATGAACAATCTTTCACAGAAATAAAGTTAAAATCTTCTCACATTCTACAATCTCATTTGCCATGCATTCATTACATTCTCCGGGGCGCCCTATGTCATTTCCCCAAAGTAAACTGGCAAAGAACCCACGGTTCCCCAACATAAAGGGAGCATGAGAAATGGTTGGGTGGTTGAAATTGGGTTGCATCCGCCGATAGATGAGTGTTACGGCTGCATGAAGCCGCGGAACACCTGTGTAGCTGTAAACAAATTTTTCTTCGTGTTTTTCACCTGATGATGACGCATTGCGGAAGTCCTTAAGGAACGGATGGCTGTCCAGGTAGAGAAAGTGTAGGAATGAATATATACGGTCATGTCAGCAGTTCTTGTGCAATATATCGTTTGAGTGAGAAAAGCATTGAGGTATTTTGGAGGATTACTCGGTAAAGAAAGGAGTATCTGCAATAGAGAGAAAGGAATCATTAGATCGAGATACATCAGCTCAGCTGTGTCCTTTTGTGGACAATTAAGGTCAAGGAAGGTCGGAGCTTGGAAAGGCCGATGGTGTGTATATTTTCTTCTGGTCTTCGACTTGATCTGTACCTTCATTGCTTTCTTTCAACAATGAAAATAAGTTACTTTCTATAAGACTAGAAATTTGACTGACAATGATTGAATATAGAGAAAGTAAGCGGTCTGCTGTGGTGACTGATTATGCAAGAGAGCTGCATCATATATATGAGGTATGCAATGTTCTGAGAAGAGGTCGTTCTTTCTAGCTTCAAGAGGTCTTCGAGAGCAACTACTATGCTAGGCCCTACTGCGTCTGTATGAGAGGAAATCGAGCAATGGGTATGAATACTAGTGTGTTCATATGCAAAGCTTTACGCTAGAATGTGATTGGGCCGATTCTTTTTCGAAATTTGTTAGATGAGGATGATTACCCCTTTTGGAAAAACAACTCCAAAGCGAGATCGCTCTTTCCAACTGTAGGAAGTTGGAAGGGTTCGAGCTTTCCACAATATGGAATTCAAGTAGCTTATCAGCATGTAGTATGTGTTCCAACGTATAGCTTGTTTCATCGAGTATTATACCTTCTTCATTTCTAATCTTGCAATTCTTTCATAGGATTTTGGAAGAAAAAGACAGCTTTGACACCTGAAAGACTACTATGAGATTAAAAGATTCATCTTGACTTCTTCATTGTTGTTTGCCAGGAGATCATTCAAAAACTACTTTTCAAAAGTCACCACTGTGATCAACAAGGTACATTGAGTGTTCAAGTCGTTGCTCGAGGATGTTGGAAGAACTTTTTTTCATTGCCATGCCGACCTGAATGTCCTGTCTTAGTTTACTTCTCAGCTCTTCATGTTTTGAACCCCCAACATTAAATCCGTTTACCTTTCTCCATTGTGATTGGTTTCCTAAAATTATATCAAGCACAATCTGATCATTGGTAGCAGTGGATTACAACCTTCAACGTCAAGGCACCTCAAGTTAACTTCTCTTTGCCTCCACATTACTCCGAGATTGTATATTCAACCTTTCTTGAAGCCTCACCCTATACTATTCTCCAATATATACCTACACATCGGCCGATATCTGATATTATTGCCGTGTTTGGTATCAACACAGTTCAGCTTCATTTTCCACCAGCCACGTTCATCCTCTCAAATTTTCAATTTCGACAAGCAGATTTGTTCTCCCACAACACTTCCCTAGATTAAGCCCAACGTTTTTTCTTAACTGTGATCTCCCTTGTGGCTCTTTCTCCTTTGTTACCAAAAGACTACGGCTTTCCGTACAATTAATACGTCAAGAGTATCTCGAAGAGTGTAAGTCTCCTCCGGCCCCCCGGTTTCTCCAGAATTTGTGTTCTGGTTTTGACCACCATCACCACCACTACAATGTTTTTGGTATTTATCAAGAACAGCACAAAACGAAACATAATACACGTGGACATACATCCTATTACCTCAACTCCATTGTTTGTTGGCTTGGCATACTGAAGCATAGCAATAGATCATATCTCCTCTTTTTCGATCTGACTCGAACTTCAAAACACATTTTCGGTATGTGAGCTCTTTCTCGGTCTTAATTATAAGGGACCATGGCTGTACGCCTAAACCACATCTGATATTATTATAGTCCATTAACCAATACTATAAAGTACAGGTTTTTCATCATGGCGCAAGTTATGATGCCGGTATGTGGCATTCCATCCTTTGCGCGACAACCAAGATTACTAACAACAAATTTAGATGACACCATTCAATCGTGAGTACCCTTATCGCCCTAACTCTCTATGATTATACCAATACTTCATCATATTTGAGCTTTTGCAATACAAGCAAACCAGATCTAACATTGTCACAGAAAATGAGAATGGCACTCCCCCTCGTCCCTTGAGTAGACGCAAGAAGAGAGAAGCCGAAGCCGCGGCCGCGGCCGTTGTCCTATCTGAAGATCGCAGACGCGCCCTCGAAGCTACTTATAACGGAGCTAGCGCTGGCGAAGCCCGCGAGAAACTCCTTCAAAATCCAGCACTGTCACTTGGACCTGGTCTTCATCTGCCACCTACTGAGGTAAGCATGAGTGGATTTGCCAAAACATTTGCTGTGGTAGTGATCCATACTTACAATCATATCTGCTTAGGATAAGACGTATAACTTACTCACCCATTTCCGTGTTCCTGGACCTGAACTCGTCAACAAGAGCGTCCCCAGCTGTGGCTTGCCATTAGGTTGGTCTGACAAGCATGACCGTTGCATTGCGTATATGTCTACTCATGCTCCGTTGGTTCAAGGCAAAGTTTCCCAGACAAGAGGCGCTTCAACCTCGTTACACTACACGCGAAATCACTTCCTTCATCTTGAAGCGATTTCCAGAGTTGTGCCGCCATGTAAGTTCATAACATACCATTACAAGTCTGGGTTTTATTAGCTGACTTTACATAGCGGATTAAGGAGTCAATTATTGAGTTACGCCTGGAACTCCTTGACCGCTCTGAAAATTCTTATTTCAGTGTTGAGTATGGTGGTTATAGTGATCATGAGTGGGCCCGAGGCATCTGAGAGTTTATCTTTTTCGAATTTCAACCTGCTACTAGATGTGTTGCAACTGAGGTACGAACGCTTTATATACATTGCTCGTCGCGACTGACCTGTTCTTTAGAGCCTCCCGCAATACATTCTGTTAAGGAAGCGTCTCTTTTATTTGTGCAACACTCCTTGTACAGCTTTGGGTTTGGGATGGACGAATGCTATTTTGCTACGATAATGACTTAAGATACTAAATAATTGTTTTAATGGTTTACGATTTCCTGCATTCTGAGATAAATCATGGATCATCTCTCAAGGAGTATTCTCTTCATCTATGGATTTATGCGGCGGCGTTTTGAATTTCATGCAAAATCCAAGAGTGTTGATTGATCATCTTTAAGAAGTCTTTCTGCTTCTTTTAGAGAGCTTCGATCCACGCCATACGCGGCCCCTGTACTAGATTTTTCTAAAGCTCATTGATTTCCAACGTATCAAGTCTTGACTTTGAGCCTACAATGATTGTGATATGTGATTCATTGTTAAGGTTGTGATGAATATCTTAGCATCTCTTCCTATGGTTGGTTCATGCTTGCTTTTGCTTCATCTTCTCATGAAAATTTACATAGCGTGACTTAATAGACAGAATAGTTCCCACCTAGGCCAGATGTATCTGAGCCTCGCAACCAATATGACAGTCCGATTAGCGGTTCGAGAGTGGTCCGGACTATGTTCAGACTTAGATGTTTACTACAGGATTTCATTCTGCAGTGCAACTTGTTTTGGTTACCGAGTCAGCATCAATAAGGTTAATAGAGTTTATCCTAGGAACGTACTGTTCCTACACATCCATAGGTATGGAAGCCTCCCCTTCACAACTATCCCTCTCTTCGAGATACTTTTCCCGGGGGGAGAGAGTGAGTGAGGTCCCGGTATTCACACTTACCTAGAGGAGTCTGTACGATACTTGATATTATATTTCGGTAAACCGTGGTCTTATTATATATGTCTATTTCCCGATTATATAACCTGTCCTTATCCATATATATAATATGACCAATGTATTCAGAAAACATCCGTTTCATTTCATCTATCTTCATTCGTGCACCTCAGTATATAGGAAGGATAGTAGAAATTTAAGTTTAAGACTGTTGAGTCTGCTCTTCTATTCTTTTCTTTGCACTATCAGTTCCCATCATCTTCTGGTCGGTTTTGGATAGATGGTACAAGTTCACATTATACTAGGTATTCAAAATACATATGTCACTCTAGTTTGCATCAAAAGTGAAATACTATAGCTTGAAAGGGGCAAATTGCGTTTGATCACATCTTATTCGCCGTATAGAACTATCATCGCTATTAGATTCATTGTCATCCACAATTATCTAACATAAGAATACCCAGAGAGAAGAGAATCGGAACACAATGGCTTGCATAAAGTACAGTGAGCGTGACGACATAAGTATCAAGAAGTCAGAGATAATGCTTCTGAAGTAGAAAAAAATTACAGTTCGTTTTTCGTTCCATGTTCCGTCAGTAGCGCAGACAATGCAGAGTAGGAGCTGTGTGTGTAGTCTACAAGTATTGATCTCGTCGGCGTTCGTTTTCTTTTCATATCCATCACCAAACCCATCCTTCATCACCTATCACCAATCCCTTTGTGCCCACCAAACCATCATGAGCAGTTCATGAAATTGCATTGCGTGTGATCGTCACATCCATCTATATTTTTGTCTTGCGCTCTGAACCCCAACCTCTAAATACCCACTTCTCCTACGATCTTCGCAGCCTCCTTGTACGTCCTTAACAACTTCTCGCACTTCTCTCTCTCCTTCTTCACTGCATCATCTTCATAGAGGAGCTCGCCGAATAAGTCTTCACGATACAATTCGCTAACCAGACGGTTTTGAACCACGTCTTTAGAGTGATTGACTAGTAAATGCATAACGGCTTTGGGGACTTGGTCTGCTATTGATTCACGGACAATGTTGAAGTACGATGATATAAGGGCACGAATGAGTTCAGTTTCCATGGCTTCGCGGTCTGTGAGTGCTGGCTCGGCGTTATTTCCCTAAGGTTTGGTGTTAGTTTTGATTCATTATTAGTGGTATAGAATAGAATATGGAACTCACGAAGGGAGAGTCATAATTGTAATCTCTCTGTGCACGTCCGAGTTCGTAATCATCCTCACGAGCTTGTTGGGCCGGTGTCCTTTGAACAGGGCGTTCTTCCTGCCGCCTGATACTTTGTGTGATACTTGGTTCTGCGCTTTGGCTCACGTGTCTGCCAAGGTTTGGATTTCCCATCATTTGCCCTGACGAAGATGCTTGTGGGATACCTGCTCCACCAGGCAAACCACCGTCTTTGCCAAAGAAGTAGTTTAAGAACGAATCACGAGCACCACCAGCTGCTTGGCCGTTGAACCTTGGTGGTGATCCTCCACGAAGTCCGTTCATTGATGATACCATGGCGCTTGTACCATTTTCCCGGATTGCAGGTGACATGCTTCGAGATGTTTTTTGGAGATGTTTTCGGTGTGGTAAGTTTTCGAGCTTCTCTGGAACAGCGTCTTCCCCTTCTTCTGGAGTTTCCCCGCCATTTGTAGCTTCAAGCTCCTTTCGGCGTCTGTGCTCCTTTCTCTCCTTTTCTTCCTGGATCAACCTTCTCCTCTCCTTTTCTTGCTTATTAGAAACAACGTTACTCATTGCTGCAGCTGCGCCAAGGAAATTGGGATGATTTGTGTTGATATATGCCCTTTGAATGGAGATAAGAGACTCCACATATTGAGAAGCTGGGCCAAGACGTTCGCGCAACAGATCAGAGACCACCTCGATAAGCTTGGTCTGGAGTCTGGGGAATCTGGTGAGTTCAGTTGAGCCACAAGTATGGCATATCTTGATCAGCTCTTCGTAAACTAGTTCCACGCATCTTTGACTAGGAACCTCCAATAACTTGATTTGTGGCTTGACTAAAAGATCGAATGCGAGCTCGGGTACGAATAAGCTAGGTCGTGGACCGGTCGAATTTCGGATTGCCGTTCGGATATCTAGGGCTGAAAGATTTGTTGTTGGGTCTATAGTTTCTAATGAATTACCAAATACGGAATTGAAGATATAGTATATTCTGGCTCCTCCGCATAACTCTTTGGTCGAGATCTCCGTTGAGGTACCATCAATGGATGCGATGAAAGAAGATGCGAATCTAGTCATCAATTGCAAAATCAATGCACCTTTATGTTCCTTGCCACTGAAATGCATATCCCCATAACTAGCAAGCTCCTGTTGTGTTTGTCCCATGAGGGTATTCAAACGAGCCTTGATATCAGGTAATCTCTCTCGAATATGCGCCATCAAAGTGGTGTTGAGACTTTTTGCCAGGAATTGGGTTCCGCATCGGTTTGCCATATTCCTATATGCAGGGTGGTGTTTGAAGAAGTCCGCTTCTGACTTCAATGCCTCGGAAAGTGTCTTGTTCCCTTGGATATCTTGTTGTGATCGGTTGACGACACCGATAAATCCCAGCTTAAGGGGGTAGACTCTGCCCGACAGGATATCCATAGCGTTTGTACCATGGTCCATAAGGTCTATTTTTGTAAGAACTCCAATGGTTCTTCGGCCAAGAGGGTCAACATGCCTGGCAAGTTTTAGAGCCTCTGAGTTGACGATATCAACGTTTGCTGGGGATACAGCCAAAATGATACTGTTTGGTTTCGCAATATATTCCGATATCAGATTTCGGGTCTGCTTTTCGATATCTGTGGGTTGATCTCCGATAGGAACCTGCAAACAGTCAAAACCTCACCCTCTTGCTTGCAACATAAAGAATAACAGAAATTACCTTGGTTAAACCTGGCAGATCGACCAAAGTCAAGCTAAGAACGTGGGGCGAGTATATCTTAAGGTTGATGGGTGATCTATTGATCCCCTTGTTGTTTCCAGCTATTCTCGCCGTTTCGTTCTCGATTTCCCTCTTCACATCCTGAAATTCTGTAAATCTCCTGTTTGGGATATGATGAAACTCGGCCCATTCTGGTTGTGTAGCCACACTCGCTGCTGTGTGCGCTTCTGGTGCATCTTCTTCCTCTGAGGGTACATTGATAAGTTGTAGAATGAGGGGTCTACGGGTGACAATCCCACTACCACGAGGAAGGAAATCTCGACCGACGATGTTCTCGAGTACGGATGATTTTCCAGAAGATTGGGAACCAACGACTACCTAGAAATTGATATCAGTGCCAGTTTTCGCAGCATGTTTTAAAGAGTACAGTACAATCTGTGGCAGATCTAAGCTATCATTGCCAATAGTGTTAAAGACAAGATCTTGAAGCTTGTTAACTATCCCGAGCAAATCCTCACCAAGAGCAGCCATCGCGTTGTTGTCGAGGGGTAACCAAGATGTGCCTAGAGGGGAAAGGTGTCGAAGCTAAGTTTTTAAGAAATATCGCGTTCGGTGTCGACGATCACAAGATGGAGAGATGATATCTGAGTCTGGCGCGTGTTGGTAATATCTAAGCCAAGAAGGTATAAGGAGACTCTTTGGTGTATCAAGACCCAATAGCAGGGGATTCCGTAGCTATTTGAGGTTGAAGATAGAATTTATTTACTCTTTCCCGGGTTCACTTCATTCATATAATTTACCAAGGTAATGCATCGAAAAGAATCGGCTACAGTTACGTTTTAGCCACATCCATACAGTGTGGTGTGGCTTGATCGATCGATACGCCACAGGCACGTAATCAATCTAATCATTTCATCTCATTCATTCAATCCAGTTCATCATCATTTGGTACAAATCATCGATCTTCAATCTTTATTAATCTTCAATCATCTCTCCTATCTACGAGTAGGAATTTCACACCCAAACAACCCCTCCATTTCGTCTGATCCTTTCCGACTACACTACTAGGTAGTTATTCACAGTTATTCAAATCCAAAATCTAAACCCAATTTATGAATGAAAATATGAATATTGTTTCATTATCTAGGTGCCTGGTGCTCTCCCTTAATCCAGTGCTAGACAATGTATTAAATATCATAACTTTCCCTTGACGACTAATGCAAGGTCTTTTGTTCAAAAATTCTCTTCCAGTACTTGGGCACCTTTCCATTTTGGACAGGTTAAAAATTTTCTCATGCTTTGCTGTCTTCTTATGAAAGGTCCAGTTAGTCTAGAATCTAGTCGATCCAATGCCATATCACCAGCATCCCCATCTTGTTGGCACTGCGTTCTTTGCTTCTCCACTCCATACATATGCGATAAGGCTTCATAATTCCTGCCTAGGGTTTTCCTCATAGTGGTTGATAAGACAAGTCATGCATACACACACCGTAGAACCATCTTCATAAAAGAATAATGAAGAGTGTTATGTTATCATGGATGCTGATGTGGTGGATCGTACCCAAGCGAGTACGCGAGGTACCCCACGTTTAATAGACAACATCAAAATGACCAATGAGATCAATACGTTGTACATATATCTCTACGCACAATAGAGACTTAACTCCACCTGAACAACACCTGAATTTAGACTCTTCATGTCTATTTGATGTGAATTTGAATTTTTTTCAGTGAAAAAGAGGCTATTCCAAGTACTTTCTACATCCATAGACGTTGGACTGAGATTAAAGGAGCATCTCAGCATAAGCGATCATTCAATCACCGAACTCAAATTCAGACCTTAAAGAGTACCATGAAGGTATCCGCTCCTGGTCGGCTATTGTGAAGATCGCTTTTAAGCTTCTTAGATACATAAATCATTCCTTATCCTACAATTCGTGCAAATGCATTTGTGATACCTTCATGGGCCCATTGCTTATTTAGTCCTCATCCATCTCCAACAGTCTTTCCTCACCCAACTCCCTGATCTTTTCTCCTAAAATCGTCCTATCGTATTTATCTGCTACTTTGCCTGCTGCCTCGATAAATTTACCTGTCCTATCCTTCATTAATTGCACCATCTCCAATGCCCTCATGCCTCTTTCCTCGCCTTCTATACATTCCGCCATCATCATCCTCAAAAGTGTCTTGTCAATTTCGACATCCATGGTTAACAACTCTTCTCGTTCTGCCCTTGTGCTTGCAGTAGATTTGACAAGATCTGACTTTAATATTGAAAGAATACTCTTGAGAGCGAATTCTCCTTCTAATTTCTTCATTTCATCTGCACCCATCTCATCGTCGTCATCATCCCCATTATCAGGCTTTGACTGTGAGGAAATGGGTATCTGGAAATCAAACTCGGAAAGTAGCGGACGAGGGAAGTAAGGATATTTGTCATCACCTTTCAAGATAATGCAATGGAATTTGTTGTCTGACACCGCCACGGGGAAATATGTCTCTGTCTTACGCCCACTTGCGAGACGAGAAAGAAGTTTTGTATCAAGGAGAGGAACCCAGCTTGCCTGTGATGGCTCACGCCAGTGGACAAGAGTTAGTAGTGTTCCGGTAGAGTCATATATACACGGATCCTGAAGATTTGAGTCAGTTAAGTGAATACAATTATCTTAATTCAGAATGTGCGCTTACCCCGTTGTCTGAGAAGAAAACACTTTTGACTGTCTCGCCATCTGGCAAGGCTACGACATCTTCGTTTTGGCAAATTTCATCTCTTTTAATGTTTTGTATGGTATACAGTAGTTTGGTATTACCATCCGCACCTACGGGACCATTCCCCAAGGTAAGAACATAGTCCCTCCAACTCGCGCAGGTAACCATAGGACTACTCTTTTGTCTATATACTCTGAACGGTATTCCGAAAAGTGTGTATATGCGTACGTAATTTTTGGTGGTAGTGACTGTGACAAAAGAATCGCTAAGTGCAATGGCACTCACTTCCTCACCTTTAGGAAGCTCTGTTTGCCATTCCACACGATTTGTACCACTAGTCCAGGATTCATGAGGGCGATATAATACCGTTGCTGGATGACCATTACCGGAAGGACAAGAGTAAAGGGAGCCATTCTCGTTCAGGCAGGCTTTATCATACAGTAAATGATCCGTAAAGCGAAAATCGCGGTAGGTTTCGCGATCGTAGAATTCTGCGCTTATTTGATGATAATCACCCTGATCAATCGTCCAGATAAACCCAATAAGATTGAGACATAGATACTTTCGGTCTCCTCGCCAGGGAGTACTACCAGGTTGAAATGACTCGTGATACTGTGGCTCCCATGATTGTGCATGCCTTTTATTCCTAGAGACCCCGTAAGAATCGACATCGTCTGCGGGTCTCTTGCCATTACCATTCAACCCGAGTGCGTAGCCAGCGCCATCGTCATCGATAACAAAGTCATCTTCATCCCCCATTATGTCAGATCCAAGGATATCATCCAAACTGTCGGGGGAGCCACGCCGGACGCCTCGAAGGGGCATATCTTTTGTGCCATTTATGTTTGGTCGCCGTGCATTACTTGATATTTCTGACAAGGGATCATGTACAAAAGGGGCTGGTTGGCGTCCTAGTTTGACTAGATGAGCATGCTCACTGGGTACAAAATCTTGAAATATATAGACTTCTCCATCCGAGTTCGTGAATGAAAGCAAGTTATCTGTGGGATGCCAGGCTAAATCCATAACATTTGCATGGTCATAAGTAGCGATGATCTTTTGTGTTTTGGTCTCCCAAAGTAATATTTTTTTATCTTTTCCAGCCGATGCAAGCATTGCTCCGTTTGGCGACCAAGCCAATGCTGTGATATCTCCGGTATGACCATCTGCGAAGATACGCTGTTTCTCCCAGTCACTCTTGGACATGACTTGAATATCTCTTGTCGCAGTCGGTGCAGCGAATGCTCTGCCATCTGGATGCCATGCGACTTTTGAACTAGCCTCATCATCCGTCTCAACGGCCCTAATAATTCCATCGATTGTCCTCACGAGTTCAGGATCCTCGTTTAACAATGAATAAACGTATATCATACCGTCCGTACATGATAGAGTTATAAATTTATTGCTTGGATCGAAGGATACGTGCTTCACAGGCTTCTGCTGATCTCTGAGGTACATTGTATGGTTTACATCGTTTGTATTCACGATTTTGACGGTCAGTTCGTCACTGGCAACAGCACACCATTTCCCGTTCGGTGATATCGCAATGTCTCGGACTGGCAACGAACAGCGCATAAGGAATTTGTCGAACGACATCGAATCGAGGGAATATTTGCTAACAGTTCCATCTTCAGAGCCTGCGATGAAGAATTCATTCTTGAAGCAAAATTAGCATGCCATTCTTCACAGATTTTTGGAGCCCTACTGTTGAATCAACTGCCATGTTCTGCTCTTGACAGTCATCAATATTTGTAGGTTCTCCATCAGACCCGGTCTTGTATACTCTAATTGTGTTATTGGAACCAATTGTAACCAGTTTTGTTCCATTTGGGGTATACGAAAGATAAGTTGGCCCAGAAGTATGAGCCGGCCTGGGCCGTAGGTTAATCTGGGTTGTGGAAGCCATCTTAATTGAGATGTCGTAGGCAGGATAGTTTTCAGAACATTTGTTATGGATCAAAATGGACCGCTATGAAGTTGTGAATGCTGAATAGATTACGCGACTTGGATAAGGCAATCGCGTGTCGGCGTAAATTCCACTTTACGCGTCGCTACCCCTGTAATTTAGGTATGATATGATTGAATTTCGAATGCCCAGGGTGATAATGAACCCCCACTATATTTGCTGTGTCATTATAGGCATATAATTAACATACAAACTGCTCCTTCATTACATTTAATATCAATCATGTCTCGTTCAACTGATCCAGGCCATTTTTTCCAGACTGACGCATCTGAATCTACACGAGCACGTAGAGCTGCAAAGTCGGGCAACAAGAATGGAAACCCTATTGTTTTACAATCAAAGATTCTGAGCTTGATTCCAGACCCATTTTCCCCCCAATGTATTTATATCGCGGAAAGTGCTGGTTGCGTACGGAAGGTCAATACTGAAGTAGGTACGATATTATCTAGGGTTATGCCATATTTCTAAGTATTATCTAACCTCGCCATTAGACTAGAGACACAAAAATAGTTTATCGAGGTCCAACTGCGCCAGTTACTTCAGTAGCCATCGGCGGCCATGGTGGTAATACAGTTTTCGCGGGATGTTGGGACAAACAAATTTGGAGTTGGGATAGGGAAAGCAAAGAGCTGGGCAAGAAATTCAAGGGCCATTCAGACTTTGTCAAAGCAATCATCTGCGTGAACATCGAGGGAACGGATGTAAGCTTCTTCGCCTTGGTTGAGGTTAGATGTGCGTACTGACTCCTTTTCAAGTGCTTAATATCTGGTGGTGCTGATGCCAAAATCATGGTATGGAACACCGCCACTGGTGAACGATTGCATACCCTGCGAGATAAGAGTGAATCCATGATGGC